CACCACCTTTCTTTGCAAAGTTATAGAATTTACAAGAAAAGCCCTGAATGTTCATTGTCAGCTCAAAGCTACAGAAATACGAAGAAATTAATTTAAGGCTTTTTTTGTAAATTCTATAACTTTGCAAAGAAAGGTGGTGTAGAGCTGGGAGACGTCTCATTTTAATCAGACATTTCCGGGCTACAATTACAACTCATTAAGAAGAGGTTTCAGTTAGTTTCAGAGTTTCTGGAAAACTGGTTTTCCAGAAAAAACGGGTCTACAAGAGCCCTCCTCAGAAACCCATTTAGGCTTTTTGTCAGCTCGATGCCCTCTATCAACTGAGGTATGAACGAAGAAAACCGGAGAGTATCATCTCGGGCGATTCCCTCGTCAGTTTTACAATTCCTCACGACTACTATATATTATTTGAAAGCTCTTTTTCTTCGCTATATTTCTGTATTTCACATATACGTAAATAGTCGTTTCGAGGCCAGATGTGTTTAGAAATATATGTGGCTATGGAAAATGACCTCCTACGTGCAAAAAGTCCAAGGGGAAACAGTAGAATTCCAAGCAGCTGTGGATCCTATCCGACTACTTTAGTTTTTGTCGAATTTTCACGTTGAAAAGTTACCGAAATTTTCACCAAAAAATGAAAATCAAGTAAAAATTTCAAAATACACATTAGTCGACTCAGTTTTTGCAGAAACATTTCTAATGTCAAGATGCCTTAGCACAGCTGGCATTTTTCCCTAGAGCAGGCGGACATCTGATTTTTTGAGTTACAAAATGATTATTTTAGCATAATATTCTCTTATTATGTGTCAGATATTAATAGAAAAAAGAAAAGTCAAATTTGAAAAAAAATGTTTTTCGACAAAAAATTCCTGAAAGCCCTGATTTTTTATCGACAAAAGCTTTTTTTGTAAAACAAACAGATTATACATCATTCGATGCAGTTTTTCATGCGGATTCCAAATATCACATTACTTTTGAATAAAAGTGTCTCCTTACCGAGAAATACCTAAAAAACCGATTGTTTTCTAGAAAACCTAGATCTCGGTCTTGGAGAACAATTGCATAATACTACTATCACCACAGATTCAGGCTATGTTAATGCACATTCTGTGAAATTTTCAATGAATTTGGAGCTTAAGAAAATTTCGAAAACTCATTACACTGAACATAGCTCTCGGAAAAGTCGCCACGTTTGGGAAAAATCTGTTTTTCGCTAAAAAGACTTGATCTGAGGCGAACTTTTTTAACCAATAGATAGTCAGAAGCGTCCTGATTCCAAATAACACGTTTCGAAAATTTGAATGGAATTCAGTTCAATAAAAAATTGGTTTTACATAGTAATATACGAGATATTTTTTCTTCAACTTTTTTTACGCGCAAATTCCATGTTCAAAAGAAGACTTTTTTATGCCATTAGATAGCCCATCTATCAAAGTATATTTACCACTATTTTAATTTTAAAAAACCGCACTTTCGATTTTTCGATAAATGTCCGCCTGGCTGCCCACTGTGCCTAGGACACTATTTTCTCTGTATTACATACATCAAATTGTACCTTGACAAATTCTCTATCGAAGAGCATATTCATTGTATTAGCCGGATGAGAAAAATTGACATAGAATATCTGAGACTTTTTTACACGTAGAAGGTCATTTTCCATAGCCAGATATATTTCTAAACACATCTGGCCTCGAAACGACTATTTACGTATATGTGAAATACAGAAATATAGCGAAGAAAAAGAGCTTTCAAATGATATATAGTAGTCGTGAGGAATTGTAAAACTGAGAGAGAAAGATCCAAAAATACGATCTATAGTATATATCAGATGCAATAGAAACAAACTTGATTCGACCAATGTTTTTCTTAGAGTGGTTCTAAGGTCTAGTAAGTACCTAGAAACATTCCCTTCTTCATTCTACATCTAGCCTTTGATTAGTTGATAAAATTCAGGCATGGGTCGATTTCATCAAATGATCGACCCCGTCCTTTCTGGGATAGACGTACAAAGGCTTCTTTTCACCTCCTTGCTTGGGTTGAGTAATACCGTTTAATAATTCATAATGCAATTAAAAAGAAGACAAAATTGTAGCTTACAGAAATGAAATCTTACCTAGTGAATCAGCACTAAATAACATTCGACATTCGCTATCTAGTTTTACTTGAGTGACAGTTGTTGTTACTGCTTTATTCTGAAACATTCCGAAATTTGCATAATAAACAATCACAAAAGTAAAAATGAAAAAGCACTTACTTCTTTGAATTTTGCCATCAACATACCGTTTTTATATACACACCAAAAATGGATCATTCCATATGGACCGCTTGAAATCAAGTTAGCAGCATCACGACGATTTGTCCTTGAGTCAATGAATGTCATTCGACTAATTAACCGATCATTTGTTTCTGAAATAACATAATAACGCTACTTCAAAATATGAAACATATTTTCTATTCCATTTGCATACTCTTCTCATTGTTATCAAATGATGGAAATTTTTCTGATCGCATTTTTGCAAAGACTTTTTTTGACGACATGTTCCATACAATAATTTCACCACTATAATCACCAGTTGCAAATAAATCACCTTGCGATTTTGCAATACATAAAATATCGTCTTCATGTCCGTCCATTATATCATCGTCCCATTCATCCTCGCACAGTGACACTTGTTTGATTTTTTCTCGATCATCTTTAAATACATTGATGCGTTTATCCCATCCAACAGCAATAATCGAACAATTATTATTCACTTGAACAAATGTTAAATCAGCTATCTCAAGTGAATCTAATAATCAAGAACAAATAAAATGTATATTAACGATAAAAAAAGTACAAATATTTGTTTTATTTTGAGTCTTTCCATTGTTTTGTATAAAAAAATTATGTTATTGCTAATAGCAGAGCTATTCTTACTTGACTTTTGTAAGGTTTTCAAACATTGTCCATTATGATAGTTCCATATACAACATTTGCCATCTCTACTTCCTGTTATCAACCGTCTACCCGTATTATCCAGAGTCATACACGTTACAGCATTTCCATTATGTGTTCGAAATTCATGTATTTGACGTCCCGTTAAAAAATCCCATAATCTTACCACACCACTTTCCGTACATGAGATGACTTGTTTAAATTCTTTACAAAATAGAATACTTAATATTTGTTCATAATGAGATACCACAATTTCGGCTTTTAGAACAGGTCTATAAACGAAATTGAAAAAATGTTGTATTGTTCGAGAGAAAGATTATAGATCTTACCTCAATTTTAAATTAAGTAAAGATATTTGTTCTGTTGCAAACAGAAGGCAATGTGTGAATGGATTATAACATGCTGCTTGCAAATCTCCTCGAACTTTATGTAATTTTGGTCTTATACTGGATAGACACGTGTGTTCAGTCAAATCATGGACCTGAAAAGAAAGTACATCAATTACTTCTTTTCCCATATAACGAAATTATCCACAAGATCAGAAATAAAATGCTTTAAAAATTGTAACTATTACATATTGTGAGAAATCAATCATGGAGAGTCATAAGCAAAAAAGTCCTTAAAGATAAGGAAATTATTAGTGATATCAATAAACTATCCCTCAAAATTGCATATCTAAGTTTTCTGTTTTTTAAAGCGTTTGCCTCTTACATTTTGACTTGATTAGAGTCAACCAATTTATCTCTAAATTTTTCTTTTTTTTTGCTATATTTCAATTAAATAAAATCTAGAATAAGGAATAGCGGCCAAAAAAAATAATCTTCTGGTTTTTAAAGCACACTTTTCATAAATATATATCTGCTAACTTCATTTTAGGCATTTCATCCTTTTCTGATTCTTGTTTTTTCTTTCTTGATTTCATTTTTGTTTATCTCAACCTTTCAACTAGTTTCAATTCTGCCTTTCGTTCAAGATTTCGGTGTTTTATTTCAACATAGTAATAAAAATGTTTAAAAAGCTCGTTTTTTCATTGTTGTAAAATATTTTTCTTATTGTTACATCTTCACATATTTTAAAGTATCAATGTTCAATAATTATTATACATGTGTATAATTTTAGATATTTTGCTATTTCTTGATGCAAAGTTGCATAATAAATTTTTGTTTACTCTCTTCGTATTTTTATTTATATCTCGCTAAACGTTTCGGTGTAATAAAATCACCTTCATCAGTAGCATATTGAAAAGAAAACGACACAAATCTCTTTATAAAGTGTTATCATAACAACAATAGGTGATTGAAACATTTAGCGAGGTATAAATAAAAATACGAAGAAAGTAAGGAAAAGTTAAATAAGAATGTATATAATCAGCTGATAAACATAAAGATGTACTTCATGTTCGATTACTAAACTTACAGTACGAATTGAGAAATGTGATTATGGAAATCAAAAATGAGAAGCAAAGAACGTGATAAATGTTTCGTTTTCTAGCATGAACAAATTTGTTAATCCATCGCAGATACATGTTCTATCTTTTCTACTTGGATGAGACACCATTAAATAGTGCATGTTGTTTATGATTAAAGACGTACATCATTGGCATTCATTTTTGGCGAAACCACTGTATGACTCTTTTCGAGTCTGCAGCGAACTAATTGCCACATTTTGTGCCATACTAACAGGACTTTATGGCGGAATCATGCGAACATTGAACACTCGTCGTAGTTTTTCGTGCAAATTCAATCTTGTTAAAGTTGATTTAAATTTTGAATTTTGAAAACCATTCATCAGAAGTGGTGGTATTACGGTGTTCACTCAAAAGTTTTCGAACTGACCATCTGTTTATGATGTTATTAGACATTCACCGTACTGCAACTGCTACTTGCTCTAATTTTGTTTTAATTTATATGGATGTTCGCTAGAGTCTCTGATACATATTATGGGATCATCATAGGTTTCCTGGTTCGACGTCGAATCACAGCAAAAAGAACAAAATACTGTTCATTGGTAACCAATTAGTTTGCATTCGGAATTAGGTTTTTGGGCTGTTATGTGGCATCTAGCATATTTTAATACGTCGTCACTTGATGAAAGTTCACTTCAATCTGACAATGTCACGATTATATTTTCCATGTATAATATTTCATCGTATATTATTGTTATTTAGAATTAATGCACAAGTACGAGAAATGTGTAATTTCAGTGTATCGACAATATAACAAGTAGAGAGAAATGAGTTCGAGTTTGTAGTTGATTTTTGTGAAAGTTACCAGTTGGATAAATGAAATAGTTTTTTTCATCTTACTACCTGTTTACTCATAATTCACGTATAATGATTAATATGAATAGAGATTAATTTCCAATTGTAGCTTAATGATAGTGTTATCTATCTGATGTCACAAATGGCTAACTAATTCCATTCTAGTGATGAATAAAATTAAGTGCAATAAAAAAGCTAGTTGTCTGGAAAGAAAACACTTTAAAATTTGACTTTAAAGTTCCATTTATCCTATTATAGAAAACAGAAAGTTACAACAGTCTTATGACTTTTTGGTAAAACCTTTAGAGCAGTTTTCAGAAATATTTCTATTAGTCAAAAGAAAACTCTTTGTACTACTCGTTAGTGAGATAGAGCCGATAAAAAAAGATAAATAATAATAAATCCAAGGGGGTAAAAGCACCACTTCATTCCACTTCACTTCACCTAGGTAAAACGCTGCTGAAACGGTCGAAACAATAAAAAATCACTTCAATTTCACTTCAAGTTAAGCGGAAGTGGTGAAATGGTATTTTCCCTCCCTTGCTTCCCTCCCCTATCAGGGGCGCCGTTTCAGCAGTGGAGTGAAGTGAAGTGGAATGAAGTGGTGCTTTACCCCCTTGAATAAATCACCAAGTTATATTCTGTTAAAAATCAAAAATGAGATCTCGATTGCTTGATTTCTATCTATGTGAAAGCTAGTTTTTATGATTCATATACTCGGATAAATAACATACAATGCAGAAGAAGTCTCATCTTGGCCGCAGAGTCAACAGATTCTAGCAACAATCGGTAAAGGAGGGTATGAACTAACTATTGTAATAGAGTGTAAGCCGGTTCGCATTTTTAAAGATTGAGTACTTTCGATCTAGAAAGCAAAACAAGTTTTCTAATTCATCCAAGTTTAACGACTCGAATAAGGTCGCAACATTTGTTTTTACTCGATTTTTCCCTCTAAAGGAAGAACATAGACTAATAATAGGGTTATAGTGAAATAATTCTTCCTGAAACTTTTTTCAATTTTTATAATTCTTGGCTCCTAGAATCACTTGTCCAAACCGTGATAGGCGGAATCGTCAGATTTGTGTCAATGCTTGAGGGTACTTTGAACTATGGGTACAGTTCTTTGTATAAAAGTAAATAGCTGATAGTTTGGTCTTTGGCAGATTCATCATCAAACACCATCAGAGGATAGAACTATCCATTAGAGGATAGTTCTAGGATAGCCCTAGAAATGATTCTGCTACAGATTTATGCAGTTAGACTTTCTCTTCAAATAAGTGAAAACTGTATGTTTCTGTCTCTCCTCTGCCAAAAGGTAGTAAAAAAACATTGACAGTTATTCTGTTCTGATATTGTTTTCAATTGTTGCAGCATTAGGTTTTACCTGTTTATATATACTTTTCGGCTTATACATTTGGAAGAACATAATTTCGATTTCAATAAAAGTTTGTTTGGACATTGTTTTAGATAACAGATAAGATTCTTTTAAAAGAAAAAGAAGAAAGAAAAGTTTTGTTCCTCAGCGTCAACTACCTTTCACTCTGATCTATTGATTGTTCGCATATTTTTTTGTTCCTCTTTCAGAGATTAAAACGACGAAAGCATGCGATTACTGTTAAAAACTTTCGTTTTGAATCTCCCTCATACATTTTTGAATCATGAGATTTTTTCATCTTCTTCCGCGAAATAAATTATTTATTGTCCTTGGCCTAGTTATTTATCTAATGCTATGGTTTATAATCATCGGTTTAATGCAACCAACGACGAAAAACAAAGTAATTTCTAAAACTAGAGAATCATAACAAAGTTTGAAGAGAAAGATTTAAGATACAAAAACGAAAATGAGATGTGATATTATTCTAGTCTATTATATCTAGTCCTTGTATACAAAATTTCTGAAACAAGATGCACACTGCATTTAACATTCTCATTCCTTGTCTAAAAAAGTAGGTTTACTACAAACGTAATTCCTTCTTTTGAACGCTCGATTCGATGTCTTAATTCGGATCTAGTAACAGTTTGTTCTCTATTAATTACAATTATCTACAGTTTCACTATTTCTTCTAGCATTCTTCTGTAACCAAAACGAAAAATTCTGATTTTTATTATATTCTTACTCATTTAAATGAGCTTAAAGTACATTTATTATTAATTGACATTAAAGTATTAGATTTAATGTTAACAGTTAGTTCAAATTTGGATAAATATGATGGAAAATCGTTAACATTTGCTATTACGGATGCTATTGCTGAACAATTCAAAAAGGTAAGGTATCAGCGATTCAAAAATCAAGCACAAATCTTTTTTTTGTTCTTTTTTTACACATGGTTGGATAGAACTCATCAAGTTGTTGCTTAGAAAAACGTTAACTTTAATTTTTTCAAAATGATTTTTATGCGAGAAAATTTAAGAATATTCAACTGCGAATATTTGCTAAAGAAATGCTAAATTTTCAAAAACAAGCTGGATTTTTCAAAACTATTGTTCTTTTTATCTTTCAAAAATACTTTACCGTGTAAAACTAAGTATATAAAAATTGATTCGACTTAATTAGAACTTAAAATGATAAGTTTGTTAACATGAGCCGGACATTGAAACTCACGGGGCAAGTCTATCTAGTTTTTTTCATTAAAAGATTTATTCGGTCCTCTTTGTCGTTAAAAGAACCGGTTATTTTTAGACGATTTGGGGGCGAAAAAAGCCTTTTCTTCCTCAAAGCGTAAAAACCTGTACGAGGACTTCTTTTGCATGAAATTTTTTACTTTATCGTCTGAGATAGTTTTGATCAAGTTCTAGATGAAAACAGGTTTTTGTGAATTTTCTAGAAAATCGGCCTACAAAAGATTCTCTGGCACCATCCAGAAGTCCCATTTCTACATCTATTCTAATAATATTAAGTTCTAATTACGTCAAATCAATTTTTGTATACTTAGTTTTATACGGTAAAGCAGAACAAAATACTTTTGAAAGATAAAAAGAACAATAGTTTTGAAAAATCCAGCTTGTTTTTGAAAATTTAGCATTTCTTTAGCAAATATTCACAGTTGAATATTCTTAAATTTTCTCGCATAAAAATCATTTTGAAAAATTAAAATTAACGTTTTTGTAAGCAACAACTTGATGAGTTCTATCCAACCATGTGTAAAAAAAACAAAAAAGAAAGATTTGTGCTTGATTTTTAAATCGTCGGTACCTTATGTGACTTCTTGTGTACATATGCAACAATATTTTGTAACACTGGAATGACAAATCTCTGTTATAGTTGATATTTTAGTTATTAGATGAAAAGAATTCTCAAAACTTGTTTAACGTTAGTTATTCATCAAGTCAAAAAACCAATTTAACGACCATTGATCATATTTTCATTGAATATAACCAAAAAACTATACAAATATGTGTTTTACATAAACGAAAATTTTACTATGTAATTAGACAAAGTATCGAGTATCATCCAAATAGTTGGGCACTAGCGTATGGTGATACGCCGAGAGCTTTCGATACGTAAGATTAAACTGTATTATTATTTTATAACATTATTAACTAAGAATCAGAACCCGAAACGAATCAGGAAAACTTGATTCGATTCGGGATAGCATTTTTGGATCCTAAATGGTTCGATTCGATTCGGCAAAAGGTCGAATGGAATCGAATGCCGAATCATTGGATTCGTTTCGGGCTCTGCTAAGAATGTATGTGATCCAGATCAAATGAGACACTTTTGTTCGTTATTTTCGAGACATTGCCCAGTGGTCCAAAGAGTTCGTTCTAACCTCAATCGACAGACAACTGAATTTTTTACAAATCCTGCTATTTAAATTTCTGATAGTATTTTTCTCGTTTAAGCAAAATATTGGATGGTGTTGAGTTGTCGAACTGCGACACACTGACAATAGAAAAATATTTGCGTTAGTCCAGAAACAGATTTCATACGAATTTTGAAAACATGAGAAGATTCACCGAAAAATTCTACATCTTCTCACATATTTTTCCAAATTTTGCAGTTAAGTCTTATTCTAAGAAAATTTCTTGGTGCAAAAAAACTGATGAATCTAAAAAACTTTTGAATTTATTTTTCACAGACTTTAGTTTTTCGGCTGTAAAAATAGTAGAACGTTCTAAATCCAGGATTTTAGTCTTATTATCTTACACAGAATTAAATTCTGCATCTTTTAACATATAACCAAAGTTTAATAATTGAAACCATTCAACAAAAAAGGGTAATTTAATTTGAAAAAAATGAACAGCTGGTTGAGAACTAATTCTGAGCCCGGGGTGATGTAGCAGAAATATTGTATGGAAGTTGTAAATGGGTGAGGATCGATAGAACACAAAATTCTCTGTCTTTCTACCTAGAAAAATTAACTATCCAACCTCGGGAATGGGCCAGAAATCTCAAAAAAGGAGACAACAAAAGCATGACGCAGTTCAACAACTCAGCACCATCCAATATTTTGAATGGTGCACAAACGAGAAAAGTACTATCAGAAATTCAAGTAGCAGATTTTGTAGAGAATTCAATTCTCTGTCGATTGACGTTAGAACGAACTCTATGGGGGCAGTGTCTCAAAAATAATGAACAAAAGTGTCACATTTGATCTGGACCGTCCGATACAGGACTAATACCATATGATGGAATCTTCACTTTCAAACACAACTTATAAGATTATCTTCTCTTATATATCATTCCCCTAAAAAAGCTGTATCAGTTAGTTCTTAACTATTACAGTTAATGTTAAAGACTATATGATACACTACGCTACGTGCCTTTTAAGAAGATGAACTTGATATATGGTGATAGGAATGTATTGCGATATATTGAATGCGCCGGGTCTCTTTTCATTCATTATTTTCTTGAGCAACAAATTGCTTATATAATCCAGTCAGAATGTTACTTAGAAAATCATAAATTTTTCTTGAAAATCTAAGAATGCTCACAAAATTTCTTCAATGATTAAGTGATTACATGCAAAACCTTGAAAAGGACAGTGTACGAAGTCGTACTTCGTATGTTATTTCCTACGATTAATCCAAAGAAAAGCTAAAGAAAATGGAAAGTTCTGCTTGTATTTACTTAAATATCGACCTGAAAATATATTCGCAATTTATGCATTGTGTCTTCATAAAGAACATATTTTTGCTATTGATCAAATACAAATTTTTGACAAATAATAGAGGACATAAATGTATCTGCAGGACGGTACATTCGAAATGTCGTAAAATATGACTAAAATTTTTGCCCGATCAATAGCAAAAGTATGTCTCCAATGAGAATACATTTTTTATACTGTACCAGATGCAAAAGGTTCTTTAGTCATTGTGATGTCTTTATCTTACTTGATTAGGTATTATTTTTTTAGAATCGACATACAGATAATGAAAAATGAGAGTAATATACAGTATTTTTATCCCCAAAACATCTCGCATTTTTTATGGTTATATGGAATATCAAAGTTTCTAGAATGTGATAGAAATTTAGCATCGATCATGGAAAATGAATATAAATTATATCAGAACGATAGTCAACTAAATCTAACAAGAGATCCAATGAGTGAAATTGGAAAAAGTTTGGATAATTTAGAAAAACATTATTGGCTTGCAGGTGGAACGTTGTTAGGTAAACTTATGATTCTGAAGAATGTTTGTTTAACTGCACTGTCTTAATCATTTCAGGATGGTATCGACATTGCGGCTTAATTCCATTTACCCAAGATGTCGATTTTGGGTTGTATGCAGAAGAGTATGATGAAAATATACGCAATCATTTTCTTGGACATAGACCTTCGTATCTATGGGGCGCATTGGGACTGGTAAGTTGAATGTGTAATATTTGTTTTTACCAGTATGTAAAATTCTGCGTTTCCTGTTACCCGCATAAGAGAATCGTTTCAGCCTTAATATCTAATCTATCTTAACACTTAGACGGTAGAATAATATTTATCTATTTGTTTTCAATCCAGTGATGAAGGCATTATGGATGAATTGTCTCTCTAATTTTCGTTTCTAGAGTATTTCCTATCTATTCAAGTTCATGCTTCATAATATAAAATCGGCGCCTTAGTAATACAGAAAAAACGATATTTCAGACTTCCACCGGCTAGATTTCTTCAAAATCGTAGCCCTTAAAAGTATGAGAGTGCAGTCAATGCTGTAGTAGTAAACCTTCCGTTGTGCCCCTATCATTGTCTGATGTTTTATGAACAAAACACAATATTTCTCAGACTTGGAGACGTTTTGCCTCTTGGTTTATGATGTACTTCATACATTCTATCAAGTTCTAAAAAATCCATGCTGTCCTGCCCGAAATGACTATAGTTTTACTATCCTATAGTATAGTATATGAAATACTACAGATAATTGGATTCTTTTCGCTACTGATCAGTCGATGCCTCTTAAGTTTTCGATCAAAAAGCACAATTTTTATGGACTTTTTAATAAACGTTTCTATAACGAGATCTGGCACATAGTAACAGCTAAGCCGTTAAAATAATCTATTCAACTTTAGCTGTATTATTTGAGAAAGATAATACGTCTCTTTAGAGTACGATTTATTTTTGTACATAAAGAACTGTCGGGGTCAGCGCTAGGTTAATGTTTCTCTTTTCGTCTGTTTCCTAAGAGCTTTTTCTGCGTGTTGGCAATCTTTGCGTAAGCAAAAGTGCGCTGTAGTTTCTCGATTGCTCGTAGTAGCAAATCAATGCAGATATTTCTAGGTTAATGATTCATTGGAATTTCGTTTACATACTGGTAAATTAACAGTGGATTTATTTTGGGCTTACAAAGAGGGCGATCATCGATGGTGTGGATATCAAGTTCAGCGAACAAAATTCAGGTAAAAAATGAGGTATCTGACAGGTAACATCAAACTCAGGTAGTGAAGTAATTACTAAGAAATCTTTACGCGTTTTCGGATTCTACAGTTATTTAATATCTCATTTCAGACGCACATTACCATTACTATCTGAGCTATGTTCTGGTGATTTATTTGGTTATCGCTTTTCAATACCATGCGACCCTGTAGAATATTTAAATAGTGAATATGGCATGAATAAATGGAATTTACCATTAAAAACAGGTTATTCATGGATAAATTTAAAAATTCATTCCGTTTGGAATAATGTTGCTTGGCTGTACGCAACTCGTCTGTATACGCGTGACGGAAAATTGAGATCAGATGCATTCGCGATCAATTGGATATCAAAATATTATAACTACACAATAGAGACTATTCCGACATTTTTAAACATCGTACCGGACGATCCGCCACCACTCGGTCCATTAAAAAAGGTCTTGGTGTATAACACTCCACCCACTCGTAAACCAACGCCCGTCACACAAATAAAGAACAAAATTATTGTAACAATTAAAAAAATGACGTCGAATTAAATTCAGTATGCTTCTTTGTTACTTATACACTGTAAAAAGATGCAAAGTATCACACAGATTACTTCTAAGACTTTTGTGGCACATTTCTAACTATATCTCACACAAATTTCTTTTACAATCTAGAGTATACTATGGTACAAAGACTAATTATCTTTATCTTTCTTTTTCTTGTCAGCATTCGATTGCAAACGTACGAAAAAAGAGGAGTCATTTCTGTTTAATAAAAAATTATCAATTAGGATCTGAAGCGAAACAACACTATATTCAAGTCAAGCCAGTCTCTACAACTTCTTTAAAGGACTTTTTGACCTGCATGATGTACATAGTTCTTCCAACAAATTCATGAATTCTTTGAAAATTATCTTAAATATGTGACTATTCTTTCGAAGGCGAAATGTTACTCGCTACTCACAGACAAACGTGATGATCCTATTCATAAATGTAAAAGGCTCTCTGAAGCAATTTTTCTTACTCTTTCGAGTGATAGAGCATTAGTAGTTTAGATTCTGAACCGAACCGACTTGCTTGAACTTTTGAAACAGCCGGTTTTTCATCGATTTATCTCTGAATTTTTTCTATACTTTGCTGTTAAATAAAAATCTAAGATAAAGAATATCAGCCAAAACGTAAACTACTCACAAAAAGGTTCAATATTATATTAAAAATTCTCTTCTTTTAATGAAATTTTCAAGCGGTCTGACCATATATTACTGATTATGGTAACACCGATCGACGATTAGCTCAGGCTAAAAAGCTGAACTGAATATATTCTTATCAATTCTTTCAGGGCTGATTCAAGTAATCACATGATGCTGAAGATTTAGAAGGTGCGCTTGATAGTAACACTAATATGTTGCTAGTCAAGATAATACTGTTTTTAAATATTTGTTTTAGTCAAAATTATCTAATTTTTGTATTATTCTAAATTTTTCTCAGCGTTTAGAAGTCTTTGTTGTTTACATGAAACTTTTCCTTCCTATTACTGATTCAGAGGTGAATGAACTGCCCAAAATTTTCGTCTCTGAATCAGCAGATACAATTTAATGAAGTCTGATTTAGCCTTAATAAAACTGCATGGCTGATTTAGCTTTTCAGACCGAGCTGAATATCGACTAGTGAAGAAATTTTACTGGTTTGAAAAAGAGGATACATAAGCTTTCTCTATCTTTATGCAGAATGCGGATATTTTTCTTTATAAAAGCGGCTCGTTTACTTGATTTTTCGCATGGGTCCTGGGTTCAATTCCCGGTCGAGGGATGCATTTTCTTTCCACATGTTTGTCTATCAAAATTGTCAAAAAAAATTCACGTTCTACGAACACATTTTTCATTTCTTTAGTCGATCCGCAATATCATTTGAACAGGCATGAGTCAGAGAATTTCTCAAACATACTCATTACTTACTAGAACACTTTTGTCTGTTGATAAAGAAAACACTCTATTGTCATCTTCAGCTATTTTGATATAAAATATTGGTGCTGTATGCCCTCGTAAACGTGCAATTGGTCTTGCCGGTACATATGGATTCCAAATTCTTAAAACACGATCCATTCCTAAAAGTATCGAAACCATACAGTTTGTATAATCCAATAGAGAGTAATTGGAACGGGAATGAGTTATTACCTCCAGTGACAAGTACATTTTTTTCTACTGATATATCGAATGTTTTAACACCTTTATAAACTTTGAATACTGTTTGATCGCTATCACATCTGAATTGGACATGGTTTAATAATTGTTTTGATGATAATTTTGATTTTGATTGCTGTTGTTGTTTAGTTGAAGAATCCTGTGTCCATTGTGTGTAGAACGATGTTGTTGAATCACGTTTCTTTTGATGCAGTTGCTGATTGTCTTCATCCGCTGATTCTGATTCTAGTGTTAATAATAAAAAAAGCCATATTTTTCTATAAAAAGGAGTTACATTGTATATCTATCTATACCAGTTATTGTTACATTAGCTCGACTTCTTCTACGTAAGCGTTTTAGATCAGCGGATTTCGAACGTAACGATGATTTACTCGTCGCATTAAATCCAATAGTTGATGAAGTACCTTTATTCTCACGTAATTGAATTTCTGAACTTGTTGATGCACGAATACAACCTGGGGGTAATTAATAATTATTATAGTTCATGAAATGGTAGCTGTATGCAAATGTTACCTATAACAACTGCTGTATATTGATCATTTGAACATGATATTATTTGATTTAAACGTGAATCAAAACATATATGTTCTATCCATTCTTTATGAACTTGCCATCGGATATAATCACAACGATAGTTGTCAAGAAATTTTTCAAATGCAACTGTTGCTATGCCTTTCTTTTTTTCTGCCGTTGTTAGCAAACTTGTTGAGGAAAACCAATACATAAGATATAAATAAGAAAATTATTCGAAATCTTACCGGAATGTTTCTCTCGCAGCAGCAAAGATCAGAATATTCACACAACCATCAGTATCACCATAAATTAACGTCAATTCGTCCGATACGGTACTAGAACGATCCCAAAAAGTTCATTTTTTTTTAATTCGTGGATATAAGTATTGTATTTAAAACAAAAGTCTATTCATCATCTTACCCGTAGTGTATTTTTATTGGAACACTTTCTAACGATGAAATTTGTGTACATTGTAGATCGTTTGATTTCGCATCTCTTGACCCACTTAGACAGGATGTTTGATCCCAAAATTGTAATTCACGATCTCTACATAGAATTTTGAACAATAATTACAGTTTTCCTGATTTTGAAGGGGCTGAAAAATGGCATACCCTGTGCTAATCACTACTTTGCTAAATTCTGGAATAATCAAACAATCCGTAATCCATTTCGGTTGAGATCTTGTCTGTTGATCTTTACGCTGAAAAATATTTTCAATTAGACAGACTATATGTAGTCTATCCTGCACGGTTTCTTTACCTTTTCCAGACGTTCACGTGCTGTAAGAGTTTGATCAATTCCTGCCGTTTGCTGAAGAAAGAATCATATTTCAATAAGGAACATATAAATAATGAATCTTAAAATCTTACAGCGACTGATTTTGTAGTTTTTAAATCACCGCTCGGCGACCATAGTGACAGCGTACCATCCTATCAACAAAAAAGAGTAATAACATCGGGAAGAAGAATTTATCATGAAATCAGTTACACTTCCTAACGCCAAATAATGATGGTCTGTTGTGATACAAACGTTGCTAACAGGAAAGCGATGTGGAGTTTTTTCGATTTTCGCTGGTAAAACAAATGAAATTTCTTTTTCCCGTTTAACTGAATTGGCTTTTTCATCAAAGTTTAACTGGAGAAATGTACAAAATTCATCCCAAGAGATAACACCTTCAGCATTATAATCAATTTTATGAAATAATACTTCGATTTGTTCATCAACCTGTTTGTATATTAAATCATGTTTTGCTAATTAATCGTCTGCTCTGTTTATATCCAAAAACTTACTCCTTTTCTTGATCTTAAACAGCTTTTGACAACACTCTTAAACTCGTCTAAAGTCATTTGACCTGAGCTATCGAGTTCATCTGATTCAACCTGGAATGCTTGTTTTATTGTTTCTAGAGCACTAATACTCAGCCTTTCTTCGATCTAAATAAACACAACAGACTTTCATAACTTTACTAAATCAATAGCATTGCAAATGCTTTGATTTAAAAATTGAAACCAGTGGAAGAACATACCTCTAGTATTTTTTTGTCGCTGTCATCGAGCAGCTAGAAATATAATATAGTTAAATTAGTATAGTGTCTTTTCTTTTCTCAAAGTACCTCTTCACTCTTATTAAGCTGTGATCGTCGACCCTTTAAGAAAACGATGTGTTTAGATTTAGAACTAAGGTTTAGAATTCATAGAGTGTACATACCGTTGAATATTCAGGAGATGATTTGAGCTAAAAAAAAGTTCAAACCATGAATAACTAAGTGGTTCGCATACAAAAAAAAATCGTTTAAAAAGGCGACAACTGAAGAAGAATAACGATAAAAATATCTTAGAAAAATGTCTAAAGAAAATATCACAGCATCACAAATCGCTAAAACGCATGGATGACTGTTTATTATTTATTTACTGGATTACTTTGCGCTAAAAAAGTTAGGCTTAGACCCATTCTTAGCACATTCTTTCATTCTTGTTGGTCTTATTTCTTTGGTTTTGCATCTCTCGTCTAGCGAGAAAAAGAAAACTGCTGATACAACTTTTTATATTACAAAGTGACGTTCAGTCTTAGCGTATTCCCTAGTAAAAATCTTAGACACTTCTTAAAATTATCTTACTAAGATCTTATTCTTTAAGATTTTGATAAGATAATCCAAGATCTTATCATTTAAGATCTTAATAAGATTTAATGATTCATCCCTTTGTTTGGCTCTCATTCATTTATATAAATAATACCGAAAATATGCGTAATTTTATGGTTATTTTTCTTCCAGACTCGGCTAGCATCTTGCTCTCTCTAAAGTGCTCAACAACTTTTTAGAGAGTTTACATACGGATTAAGGTCCATCGTTGGACACCCGAAAATATGAAATTTCTCTTTATTCTTCAACACTGTTCAACTGTTGCTTTGGATAATACAGATTAAAAATTGAAAATTTTTCATCGTATCTCTAATGAATATTACTTAAAAAACGCCGTCGTTCTTACTATTAAGATCCTAACAAATTCTTATCCCTATCTTGAAAAAATCTTAGACAGTATAATCTTAGTACGATTTTAGTAAGATTTCTGTTATATTTGTCTAAGATCTTAGAAACCTCTTAGAAAATCTTAGAATTTTCGGATCTCAGGATCTTAGTAAGATCTTAGACAAATATAAGCGAAATCTTACTAAGACCTTAATAAGATTTTTCTAAGATCTTAGTAAGATTTTAGTAAGTTTTTCACTAGGGTTGCAACCTATTTACTTCATGTTTATGTTGAGAAAAGAGTGAGGACGGTGGTTTCAGTAATTCTGATAGAGTGACGTCCAGTACAGTGAGTGTGCGCTAGTTTTGATTATTTTATCTGAAATCTGGTTAACTTGAAGATCAGGAGTGTTCCGTACAAACTCTTGAGTGAGGATCTAAACGCAGTTCAGCCGAATATAAGTTGCTCATCGGATGATGGTCAGCACTCGGAAGATTATGTATTTCTCAACCAACATACAAAAACATGTACAATATAAAGTAAAACAGCAAATTTACAAATGAAAAGTTGTACGAATTTTCTTTGTTCCTTCATCTTTTGGTTTTTCTAATGAATGACTAGGTATTTTACCAGTAACTTGATAAAATAGCTAAAATTCAACCGTCGGCTTGGTTAGAATAATAGTTCTTATCGGTGTCTTACGTTCAATAATTTTCTAATATGGCAACAATCTTGTTAGTTAGTAGCACTACTACAGTCTTGCACATGATCAGTTGGTATGAAACAATATTTGTGTAAATATTTAGTTAGATTAGCTATTTTATTTAACTTATATCAAGTTACTGGTAAAATTCATTCATTAGAAAAACGAAAAGTTGAAGGACCAAAGAAAGTCAGCACAATCTTTCATTTGTAAATATGTTGTTTTTCTTTATATTGTACATATTTTTGTATATTGTATATTGTATGTTGGTGAGAAATACATAATCATCCGGATGCTAACTACAATTCGGTAATTAAAAGTACACTTTTCCACTTTCCTCTCGTAGGGTGGACATACGAAAAAAGTGCTTAAAAGCACTTATCTACCGTATAAGTATTGTTGTTTATTTGAAGCTTACTTCTCCTTTGAGACCCACTAAAGCATAGCTTTTTGCTCTTTTCAATAAAATAACATCCGATTGTTGAATATTTGTGGCATTTGCTACGGTTAATCGACGTAAATGTTTAAACTATAAAAACATTAAAAAATGAACACTTTTCTTAAGAGACTCAAACACTGACTGATTGCTCACCGATTGAAAGTAGGCTTTTGTTTCTAAATTTTGATCATAATCATCGGCATTTCGATTTATGTTTTGTAATCCAACATATTTTGTTCCACCGAGAATTCTAGATTTCTTCCATTCGTCAACTGTTCCCGGTGCTCGATTATCGTCTAATAAACTTGATTGATAACACGGATGACTTTGTAAGTTGGGTTGAGCACTCGAAGGACGTTGAATCCATTCAACTTTGCTTTTATCCATTTAAGTATTGATAAAAAAAAGTAAAATTTTATCTCTTTTCTGATCCATAACGATGACAATCGGCTATACACCGATGAAATCTAAAATGAAAACGATGGACATTGCATATGACAAGTGGTAGTACATTTAGTGTAATGGCAAATCATATCAACATGAAGAAAACATGAACCTCATGCAGAGTTATAGAGTATACTGAGTATGAGCAAGCACTTTTTCGCGACTCTAAGTGAACTTTAGTTTTCTGTCGACGATATGATGAGCGAGAGCAACGGAGTACGTATATTCTTCTTTACTCATTATCGAATTATCATCAATCGATTTCAAGATTATTTCAAACGCCTACTGATTGTATACATCAACAGACGAATGAACCATAATACAATTCTCTATTGTTGTCGCAATGAACGAACCCCTACTGAAAAATAGAAACTATTTTCTGAATCGATTGAGTGCACAACAAAAGAACAAAAAGAGGGCGTTGTTGCTATTGTAGAGTAGAAAAAACGTTTTACTATCACGAGTATGTAAACAACTTGATCACACTATTCAGTAAGTAAAAAAAAAATGCATGTTTTATTTTTCGAACGAATTTTTACTAGAAGCTTTTAATAAATGCAGTTTTACTTGTACACTAAAACATCAACGTATGCCACTGAAACAAAAAAACTAAATAAAAGTTTGTGCAGAGTTTGGGATTCGTGAATTTGGAAAGTAGCATATTCAGCCCTAGTGAATGTACTTGAATATAGGTACCTGAGTCAGGTACTCTGCTAGAAGAGTGTCATCAACGGCCACCGTTTTCTGACCATTTTTTAGCATCATAACTGGGAATGTATTAATGTCTAAAAGTGGCATTTTTTTTTTAACAGCCAAGGAACAGGCTGAAAACAAGCATTTAATAGTAATCGTTTAATGGCCAATTTTGCGTAATTATTGGCTGTTTATGGCCAAGTATCCGACTGTTGATCATGACTAATTTCTTTCTGTCCACTACCATGAAATAAATTACTTCAAATTTTTGAATATTTTCGGTTCCTTAGGTATGATTGGTTCCACCACTAGAACCAGTAGCTACTTTCTCAATACAAGTTTCGATGACTTATATAGTAGAGGAAGAACTTTGCATTTTCTATGAGAAAACAGCGTGATATATGTGGTAGTGAGGTCAGCGAAACAAAAGGGTGAATTAAACGGTAAACGTTAAATGTCCGTTTTTTGTCTGTTTATGTAACCGTTATAAAACGGGCAATAAAATGTCATTTAATGGTTATTTAAATCTGAGCCTTACTAACACACAATTAATTGTTTGTTTTTAGGCATCCTTAAAGGTTCGATAAAGAACAATAAATGGTACCTGTTACTTGACAATTTTTTCTCTATTAAGAGCCTGTTGAAGCCCTGTTGTTAGTCATTTTGTTAACAGGTTATTTATGTCCTATTAAGTGTCAGTTGTTTTTGACCTCGGATCTAGTACCTATGCTGCGTCCAGCGCAAGTAACTAGGTACCTTTCAAATAATATTTTACTTGAAAAAAATTCAAGCATCTATGATATTCATGTAGCAGGATAGCCCCATAGGAACCTAAGAGATATGCAAGTACTCCAGTATCTATCATCAAGTACATTCACTAGAGAATATATTTTTTTGTTATATAGTTTCCTGGTTATTAGTTCGACGTATCATCAAAGTTTGATTAAACTTTTTACATGAAAATTTTTCAAAAAAACAATTATTTTACAGCAGAATTATTATTTCAAAAGATTTCGTTTCACTCTGCGCTAGAAAGCTAAGAACAACAGAGCTTTTGCATTTCTTACTATTTCATGATTTATACCAGGCATCCAAACTAAACAAATAGCATTTAGAATGGGGGTAATAAAGCTCAACTTGCTTCTTCAAATAGAATATCACATGCTCAGAGTGTCCCCAATTAAAGAAAACAAATATCTCAAGGGTACAAGTAGGATTTTTAACTTTTTGAGCCATTCCTCATGAAGTTAAAAGATCAATGGATCAAGGTGGGCAGAAGATTTTCTGCCTGGGCCGCAAATTCGCTAGACTGTTGTCATTATACTAGCGTTTTGAATAAGCACATTATAATTTACTCTGGATTCGCATCTCATTTTTATATCACCTCTTGTTCACGACAAACTCCGTCTAGAATTGGCAATAAAAAAGCGTTGGACCAGATACACCAGAAATTTTTCTGCTGGGCTGAGCTTCAGATTATATTGAGCCATGACCCAATGGCCTTCTCCCCCGTAGTTGCGCCACTGAAATAGCTTGAAAAGAGAGATCAGTCTAAAACTTTGACCGTCTGGTATTCTATTTAGTACGTTGCATTATGTGACTATGTTCACTCTCACATCTATGGGCAGTTGTCGATTGGCATACGCTATCTTTGAATAAATGACAGTTCCACATGACTTCTTTCCAGGATAATTGAAAGCTTTTTCTTATTTTGATAAGGTCTAAAATCAATCGATTTAGAGATTTCTGGAATCTTTTTAGTGTTTCAGAACTCTCCTGTAAACTTCATAAAGATAAGTATACGCTAAGTCGTGAAAGTTTATTGTGCTTGGACGAAATTCTTATTAAATTCTTATATTGCCGATCATTTCCTATTCAACATACTAAATTCAGTAATATTATTGCTTCTTATTTGTTGAGGTGCAAGAACCGAAATAGAATTTATGGCACATTGACACAAAAACGTTTATCTAAAATATTTACCACAAACATGAAAGAAAAAAACTGTTTAGAATAGAATTTTATATTCCACTCTTTTTTTCTCTGCTGACTGAGATAACACCTAGACAGAATTTGAGATCTTTCAAAAATACCGACAATGTGTGTTAAAAGACAGCTAAGAATAAATACAAAATTTTGGTCAGTTGCTTTTATTTGTATATTTCTATTCCATCTAATTAGCACTAATATAGGCGCTAGTGTTACATAATCAGCACTTGCCATTTCAATTTGTATACACCGTTTTTCACACTAAAGAATGAATCGTTTTTATACTAACTTGATAGATGAACAAAAGTTCGAGGCTAATTAGCAGTATAACAAACAGTAGAATCGTTTTTTAAAAGTTGGATGCTGTGATGACAACATAACGGATCGAATCTTTCGACGTTTAACGGACATGTGTTCTGAATTGTTTTCCAAATTTTTTTGCGGCTGGAATTTGAAGTTATAAAAAAAAGGGATTTAAACTTATAAATGTTGGTCTGTATCATTACCGATTTACCCTCTTAATTAATTTGATGTACTCCGTGTGTTCTTTCTCTACTGTATCTAATAATAATAAGTTTGATAGATCAGTGCGCATGAAAGCGTCTTATTACACAGTCAGTGGTCATTCATTCATTCGAACGGCACACACATTTTTTCAATCGTCCATGACTGAATACGTCGAGACCTAATTATAATTTACGTTTTTACCTAATATAACAAGTGTTTTTTAATTATTGCGGTAAAACATTTATTTCAAAGTGACATAATAGATCATGCTGCTCTCTCTCTCTCTCTTAGTGGAGAAAAGGATGAATAGATTGCTCAAAGGCTGTTAGCTTTTAGGTTACAGTTATAACGCCAGTAAAATGACAAACAATAATTTAGTAGACGCGTACAATAATAGTCATAACTATTGATGTGTGACCGTGATTAACCATAAAACTAACTTTGAACATCAGTTTTTTTATCACCAAATCCGTTCTACAGTAGCATCACATAAATAGGTTAAAATGTATCTATACACTTTGTACCTGTTCGTTTTCCTCATGATTAAATACGTGTTTGATCACTAACCTAAATAGATGTTAAATAATTAGCTGACCCAACAGTATGTTTACACGACTATAGTTTCATATGATCGTCGAATTAGTCAGATATTCATCGTTTCCAACAGTGGCTTACATTTAATATTTTTTGGAGACAACAATCCGGCTGAGAAGTAGCATCATTCAAGTATACATCCATTACAATTTTTGTTAGTTCCTTTTGAAAATACTTCCAAAATTGTATAATGGTTAAAAATTGTAGTCGTTGTATACCCATTATTGAGTTTAAAACAGTTATGACTATTTTAACAGTTTTAACTCAGTGGATTAAAACGGTCAGAAGTAGTTATAATTACTTTTAAACTCAACAGTGTGTATAACTCATACCATGACAATAACTCACATGTTCTTTTGGATGAAATTATAGTCGTGTAAACATACTGTTGGATCAGCTAATTATTGAACTTCTATTTAAGTTAGTGATCAAACACGTATTGAATCATGAGGAAGTAGAGTGTATAAAGTCAGTTAGCATAACTTTGCATTCGTAAATAGATATACATTTTGACCTATTTATGTGATGCTACTGTAGAATGAAATCTGCGGTCAAAATACTTCTATTTTTAATGATCACTTATATCTAAAGTAATTTGGTAATCAAAATTACATTTTTCCATTAAGTTTAAGCATCTGTAATTAGTAATTAATCTGAAAATTTGCAATGTAGTCGAATTTATTTGGACTAAAACTTTTTCTCTCAATAATGGTTTTGTCGATATCGGTACGACGTGTACATCTTAATTTTTTTGGAACATATGATTGAATCTGCATGATATTTAACATTTACTATTCTGTAAAGGTGACAAACCGATAAATGAGCTTATAGTATATAAAAGTTCCATATGACATGAATTATGTTCAAAGATCAATAATATCGTCAACAGCACGTGTTCAATTGTGCATAAAACAACTAATTCACTCTAAATATCGTCTTTTGTGTAGAATAAAGCGGATTTAATAATGTCTAATCAGCTTCATGCCGTGTCCAATGTAAGCTAAAATAAGAAACTATGATTATTTATACGCATCAATAGTCTAAAATCGTATATCTAGAAAATAGATTTGTTTTCGTTAAAAATAGATTTTTTCAAAGTTAAGTTTAAACGTCAAAATAGAGACGAGAATAAATGTGTGTTACTTAGGCATGAAAAAAAG